TATTTCTTGTTGGGCCATTTCCACGAGATTCGACGTAAGTCTTATCCATTAAATCGGGATTTATTTGATAACCAACAGTTCTATGAATTGCATTGAGTGTGAGAATGTCGACAATGCGAGGTTAATGTGAGACCACACCATTATTTCCCTACTGCATATTGAAATGTACTACTGCAAATCTTGATCATCAGCTAGGTCTGCATGCAGAATATTGAATGATGACACCTTAAACATAAACTGAACATTAAATTCAGCTGATATTTGGTTTGGATAAAAATTATATTTTTGGTAAATCTTCATAAAAGTTGACGAAATGTGTGATTAAAAAGTTAATAAAAATTGCGGAGTCCCATAAAATGTATAGTTGAAAATGAGTTTTAGAAAATTGGGACCAAACAAGAACATATATATCTTGCACATTTAACCTTTGCTTCATTATACTGATGAGATCATCAAACAGTAATCACTTGAAACTTTACTTAAGTTGTTCATTTACTCAAATCCCATTCTTCGTCAATTTTTCCCATGAAATGTCACATGTAGGATATAATAAATCTGTTATGAAAAAATAAATACAGCAATGGAGAAAAAACAAAAGAGAAGAAAACGATGAATATAAATTCGGTAAAGGCTTGAACACGAAAATTATATGTTATTCTCGAACGATATTTGTCTCATCTACAGTGCTTTTAAGGATTTAATGGAAAAAAATTGTTTGTAATTGATTAAACAAATCTTATGAAGAATCGACGATCACCAAAAGCAAAGTGAATCTTCAAGGGTAGAATTGTCAATGTTTGGCCATACGTGCAAAAAATTTAAAATTTTGGTATAATTAAAGGGTACATATATTCACACCACAATTTTTGCAAATTACATCACATTTTAATTACAATAAATATTTATAAACTTTCTTATATTCTTGTACTTATTAATTGTCACATCTTGTTTATTCTATGAGAGCAAAAAAGACATTTATCTCTATTATTTTTAAATAACTACTACAAAAATTAATCAAAATATTTGCCTATCTTTTCAATGTACGTTAGCAGAATGTTTGAATGAAAAACGTGTTTAAAGACAAAATATGTTAATTAATTGAAGGTTAAGAATGATAATGCGACGGAAAAAGAAAAGTTGAAGACACCAAAACATAAGTACCCAAATATTAAAAGAATAATGCTACTTGCAATCGCTCACTGCAGCAGTCGCCCTATGTAGCATACACATGTCAAGTGTGTATTT